AGAAAAGAAAAGAGAAGATACATATAAATATATATTTATATATATTTATATATATATATATATAAATATATATTTAAAGAATAGATAGAAAAATAAATAGATGGAAATGTTACGTGGATGAAAGATATAAAAACGAGACGAAATATACGAAAAATCACGCGAGAGTAAAATTAAGGGAGATTGAAGGGGGAAAAAAGAAAAGAAGAAAAAAGAAAAAAATTGATAAGAAAAATATCCGATGGAAAGAAAAAAAAAAAAGAAAAAGAATGTAATTTTATCCGTGGTCTCTCTCGTCGACGCACAAAGTACAAATAATATATAATATAATTAATTTTACGATTATGATATTATCCTGAATTACACACGGTAATCACGAATGTACGGGCTGGCGTGCCTTTTTAGTTTTATGTATCACATATGTGTAAATAGTATACTGTAAAATACTGTGATAATATTTATATTACACGTACGTATTATATTGTTTCGATTAATGATAATTACGGTCCCAAGATGACAAAATGTTTCGTCGAACGATACAGTTAGCCGATGTACACGCATACACACGAAAAAACATACAAAAGCCAACAATAATTGGGCACGGGGGGTGCCAGTTGTTCGCGAAAGACAGGTAGGTATAATAATAAAAAAAAAAAAAAAAAAAAAAAAAAACCACCTGTTTTTTGACAGAAATACCAGATTTTTCTCTTCGATTGATCAAATTCGTACCTTTTATATTATATCCAATATACTATACATCACTGTGTTGATAACGACGATGATGAAGAAATGTAATAAAACGAAAAAGAAAGGAATTTGTGCGATTGGGTAATAGTTTCGCATGAAACGCTAAACTAGTTGCGTTGAGATGATTAGAAAGAAACTGGCCTCCATCGAGGAAGGTATTAAAACAGTACGATCGAAGAACTTTTAACTCGGTCTCTCTTGCGGTTGATGATATTGTTATCGAAAAGAGGAGAAAAATTTTTAAAATTTGTTTCTTCCTGCTAATTATAATATTTTGAATTTTGTTGTTGACTTATTGATGAGACATGATTTTTTATTTTTCGTCTATGTGCGTGAGCGTATACTTCTCGCGATTAGTATAAAATTAGCTAGATTTAACTGAATTGTTGTTCAATGTGGTTGAAAAAA